AGCTTGTAGGAAAAGGGAAGATAAGAAAGGACAATTTATCAAAGGCAGGCATGATGTGGTTCCCACAGATATCTGAATCAAAACCCCAAATGGTACATGTTAATGTTCCCTTTGTAACTCTCTTTTAAAAAATGCACAGGTACATGCATATCCAGGACGCCCTGTCTATAGATCCCCCTCCCAAACCCCACACCCCAGTGAAGTTATAATGTCCCTGGTTTCTCTACTCTGAGACCCAAGTGAATCATTATCATATATCAGCATATATGACATGATAGAAGGGAGAGGAAGAGAGAGGGAGAGAGATGGAGAGGGATAGAGAGATAGAAACATTGGTCAGCTGCCTCCTGCACGCCCCCTACTGGGGATCAAGCCCGAAACCCGGGCCTGTGTCCTGACCTCCTGGTTCATTGGTCAACGCTCAACCACTGAGCCACACCAGCCGGGCTCACTTATCCAATCTTGACAATCCTGCTTCTTCCATGGTGACATGGACAGACATTAAACATCGTTTCAGGGGCGCTAGCACACAGGGCCTTGGTCTTGGTCTTGGGGAAGCCGTGAAAGCACATCTCTTAGCACACACCTTCCTCAACACCTGCTTTACCTTCTCTGGGCCTCGGTTTACCCAGATGCAGAGCAAATGCCCCTCATCCTTCCCCCAGGAGGTCTGCTCAGCTGATTAATGCAGGTGGCAGGTGGGTCTTGGAGGCCTCAAGGCCCTCCCCACCGTGACATTGAACACCACATGGGATCAAGGTCACAGGTGCCCCACCTCCTGCCCGACCTCCACGTTCAGAACGTGTTTCTGAGGCGACCAGTCCCCTGGCCCAGCCCGCTCCGCTCTCACCCTGGCCCCAAACCCACAGAAGAGGGTGTGGGACCCTCCCTCCCTCCGCGCACCTCTCCAGCCCTAGACCTGAGGTCTGACCTCACGCCAGGCACGGTCGTGAGGAAAAGCGAGATGATAACTCTTGCAAATCCAAGTCAGCAACAAGAGAAACGCAACAGACATTAGAGACAAGGCCGGCCGGCCCCCCCAGCCCTCCCGCCATTTCCCCTCCTGGCCTGTCTCCTTCGCCTCGGCGCCTTCCTCTGCTTCCTCATTTCCGAGGCTTCCCGGTTTCCCTGGATCACCTGCTCCAGGAGGCTGCCTGCTCCCCAGCCCAGGTGGGTCAGAGCATCCCCACCTGGGCGCCTCCCTGTCACTGTTATCACGGAGGCGGCCCACTGGGTAAGAGGTCAGGCCTTGAGGGCAGGGAGGTGTAGGTCAGCATCCCCTGCTGTGTGACCTTTGACATGAGGCTAACCCCTCTGAGCCTTAGTTCCTTACATCGGAGCTATTAATAGAATACACATACAGGCCGGCCATAAGCAGTGCCTGGCACGTAGTAGGTGCTCAATTCACGTGAGTTATTATACTCCTGCTGTTCGCTTCCTGCTTGGATTTCGAGCTCCTCAAAGGCAGGGTTCAGCTTTGCGTCCCTCCCTCTTGGATCAGTCAGTGCTCAGTAAGCGTTTATGAACGAATGGATGGGTGGGTAGAAGGGCGGTGTAACCCAGGAAGGCTTCTCGGAGGAGGAGAGATCAGAGCTGAGTCTGCTTCTCTGCACTGGAGTCCCTGCTCTGTGGGCGCTGTGATCACATGACACCAGGAGCCTGCACAGCTGCATCCTGAGGCAGGAAGGAACTTTAGAGCCTGAGCTTCGCCCGACCCTGAGTTAGAGCCACTCAGCCCCGAATCGCCAGAGGCAGGCCCGGCGTCGGACAAGAATAGTTCCACGTGTGACATCTTGTCGCACAGGGACGGCTCCTTCCCCAGCCCAGACAGGTGCCTGAGGGGTCTGGGGCCGCATGAGTGAGATCCTAGCCCCTGACTTTTCTTAAGAGAGTGGGTTTGGGTCCAGA